GTCGGAAAACGGTCCTGTCTGACCGTCGGGCCCGACGCCGGTGTGGGTCTACCCATTTTCCGACACAAAAGAATGAACACAGGCAGAACAGTAAGGACAGGTAATAAAAAACGACAACCCGCCCACACCAAAACCCGACGTCCCGGACCAGTCGGTTTAGGAATGAACTTGTTCATTCCACGTGAACTTGTTCATTCCACGCCGTCCGTCGGGCGAAAGGGGGGCAATTTTCGTACACTTTGCCTCTATAAATTATGTCCCCTTTCCCGCCACGGTCTGTTGGTTTTTGTCTTGAGAGTGTTTTTCGGCGCTCGTCGCGATGATAACAGACGATAGAACATGAGAGCAGGAAAGGAGGCAAAAGAAGAAAATTTTAAAGCAAAACATTTTCCATTCGCTGTCAAGTTTCGAGCCCGGGACCTGTTGAATGAGAGGCAAACAACGTAACCCCTAGACCACGAGAGCCCCCCTCCCCCCTTTTTTTTTCCTAACCACAACAAGAATAACAACTTTCTCCTCTTGCTACACTCAATTTTTTACTATTAGTACAATTAAACTGATGTTTTCTGACCGTCGGGTACCGGTGGCGGTATGGGCGCCACAGCCGGCAGAAAATCGTCGGGTCGGGTCTGACCGTCGGGCCCGACGCTGGTGTGGGTCTACCCTAAGGCGGCAACACTGATTTGTGAACGAAAACAAATCCTGAATTCATATTGTATGTTCAACCGCCAAAATAATTGGGAAAGTATCTCATTCAATATTTATTCCAATTTTAACATTAAATTTAACTTTAAATGTGAATACACGAACATAAAGCAAAGAAGCAGAGGTGCCAGTACTGTATGTTATACCTGTAAGTCTAAACTCTTCGGTAGAACATGACAATTATCCATTTTTTAATTTCACATTTGGCTGTATTTTTGTTTAGGTTTTCGCGGCCAGGACCTGGTGTCATAATTGAGGTAGGATCATAATCTGATTATACGACGGTAAAAAGTCGAGGAAAAAAAAACAAGCACTCGCAGCAGTCAAGAGATTATTAGGAGTTAGTTCCCCTCACATTTGTGAGGTAGACTCGACCAGTGCAATAGTTCGCTTACACACACAGAATTCTACACTTAAGTGTAGAATTCTGTGCTTACACATAATCAGTGCTTGTGACTGGGCTTATGACTGTAACCCGAAAGGGGTGAACAGGGTATGTGGCAACGAAACAGTTTTGAGTGTTGTGAACATGTTCCCTTCAACTATTTTGGTAGACTCTTCCAGCCGCACTTTAGGCTTACTTAATCAAAGCTTGTGACTGCGTGGCCCGAAAGGGGTGAACAGGCTATTTCTGTGGCAATGAAACCGTTTTGAAGGCTGTCGTTATTCTCACCTGGGGTGAAAATAAAAATATAACCCGGGTGAGAATAAAATGAATATTATTCTCACCCGGTCTGAGAATGCAATGGATTTTTAGGCCTACCTGGGCGTTGAGAACGGATGACACAAAATAATTTGTGAATTGTAAGAGGTTTGTGACCTGCCCCAGAGCGCTGGCCGATTTTTCTAGACTCCCACGGGGATTGTTATTATTTCATATTTTTAAATCTTGAGTTGAGAGTATGCACATATTCATCAAAACCCTTGACAAGTGTATATATTCTAAATTCAGAAAGGAATTCACTTGCCAGAGTAGTTTGTTTTTAAAAAATAATAGCCATAATTGAAAGCTGTTTAATGATAATGTTAGATCTAGAATCTAGTAATAGTTTGTCATTCATTGTAATGTTAGAATTGGCATTAATTTGTTTACAACACTAAAAAAAACATGTTTAATTGTTATCCCTAGTAGAACCCACGATTATTTTTAAGGAACGCAGTGCCTTGACCCTAAGCTTATTTTTTTTCTCAATTTTGATTGAAACCATTCAAGAGTAAAATTGTTAATTGTCCATTACAGAACCAATAAATTAATACTGTAGCAACAAAAGGTGACGCTGTTTGGTCAAAAGATTAGTTTTCCCCCCAAATCGACAATAGTAGCCTCCCGCACTCGAAAGCTGGCCCGCCCGTTGGCGATTTTAGTCGCCTCGCGCGCTCAGCGGAGTGAGAGGGGGAGACGAGTTTTGTCGCCTGGAGCGCTCAGGCGACAGGGGTCATATGTAATGATGCCCGAAATGAAAAAAACTGGTGAGAATAGTATCAATTTTATTCTCACCCGAATAATATCCAGTTTGTCCTCACTCCGGGTGAGAATAATCACTCCGGTTTTGAATGTTAGGCAGGGCCTACTGTTCATTGGTGATTATGAACATCTTTTTACTTTTCATTTAATTTATGAGGTTTACGTCCATGGGTGAATTTGACAGCGACCATTGTTTCAAAATTAGGAAGGGAAGCAGTGATTATTTTGATTATTATCATCTAGATATCTAGAATCTAGATTCTAGAACAAAGACGCTTCGCCACTGATGTTTGTCACTTGTGACGGGAGTGGTTAGTTTCCACTAAACTTACTGTAAACGGGGGGGGGGGGGGGGGGGGGTGATCTTGTAGACCTAGTTCCGTTCGTTAAAGTCCACGATCCATTTGTATACATCCAGAGAAGAAGTCCAGAAGTCTTGATGACCAAATACTATTTGAAATAGGCTACCTACACAAAGAGTAGGGATGCAACCTAACTGCAAAATATCAAATTAGGATAAAATTCAGGGGCGGCATGCCCCTCCCTGAACCCTCCCACCTCCATATTTTTAGCAAGTGGCTATTCTCCGGCGTGGCGCCGGTCAATAGTTCAGAAGCTATTCCCCGGCGTTGCGCCGCCGGTCTATTACTAATAATTTGTCGGCGCAGATTTGCAAATACCTCTCTCATCTGTTTGTCTTGGAAAAAAATTCCCACAACTTTACCACTTCATGCCACTTCCATTGATATAGACGATAGGTTTTCAAACACAAACTGCCCCAATTCCTCCAATTTAGAATTATGTTGGGTGCTAGAAGAAATGTGTTCACAACTATTGACGCGGCGAGTTCATAACAAAGAGTGAGCATTAGAAGGAGTCACTTTTTCACTGTTTACAAAAATGGAGATACAACAAGAAAGGGTATTTTTTTACTTTCCCTCCCGTCTCACACTCAGCTACCAGTTGTCTATTTTCTACTAAATATTGATGCGCTGAACACGAATATCAACTTCATTCCCGTCGCAAATTAATAGTTTTTGAAATATTTGATTGTTTTTAACCGAGATAGACATGCTTAGGACCAATCGGGGGGTTCCAGGGGGGCCTGCCCCACTGGTGTAAAAGAAAATGTGGGGGGTTACAGGGGGGCATGCCCCCCTGTTTTTACATATAATTTGATATTTTACAGTTAGATTTGAAATTGTCTTGAAAATAATTGATAAGCGACAGTTTTAGTGGCTTTATGTGTGATCTGCAGCAAACGGTACAGCAGTTTGACCCCTGAAACAGTGCATCTGTGTGCGGGAGTGAAAGTAAAAATTTACCCAAGAAAGCACTGAAGTCGCGACATGTCAGTTAAATTTATCGAAAATTACAACAAGAAATAAGTTAAACAGCAAGCTATACTAGAATCTAGATCTAGATCTAGATATCTAGTATATATAAGTCCTTCCGAATAACGTAGGCAATTTGAATTACCATAGATAAAATATAATGAAAGGTATACTAGGACTAGTTATGACGCCGGAGAATAGCTTCCCATCTATTGACCAGTGCGACGCCGGAGAATAGCCACTTGCATATTTTTATTAGGTCTGGGGGGGGGGGGGGGCAAGCCCCCCTGAAACTCCCCTACTCTTGACTACAAAATCGCCACAGGAGGTGTCAGTACTCCGAGTAATGTAACGTCTTCTATTTGGCTCTTGAGTTAGAGACACCTAGAGTTGACTTCTAGAACTGACTAGATTCTAGATCTAGAGTTAACTAAATTCTAGGTCGGGGGGACCCTTGCCTAAATATGCTCCGGCCTCACCTTCTAACGCTTCAATAGGCCTAATTTGATCTTGACACTTAGCCTCTATGTTGACAGTAGTGTCAGTTAGGCTAGTCACAGCTGGGCCGCGTAAGATTTTTCATACGCTTCCGGTTACCAGATTTTCTTGCAGTGCAGCGAACAAGACTATAGGCATAGGCCTAGTGCGGTGTCAAAAGTTCGTGGTGCGACTTATTTTCAAATATCTCCTCAACTATCGAACATAGATCTAGGTTCTCCAATTTTTGCACAGTGACTTGTATCAGTAATTAGTTGTATCAATTTGTCTTAACAGATCAACATTTTTGGAAACACCTGCAAGCTGTATACTAGAAAATTCCATAATAAATACCAATAAAAAATCCAAGTGGGTGGTTTCTACAGATTTGTAAATGTTTACACAGCTGGGGCAATATTGCCTTTAATAGCAGGTCCGTCAGGTTTTTCTAATCGGGACATTATGCTTATTAAACGCATGTTTTGAGAGCCCTTAGTGCAAAAATGTGTTCACAATAAGAATAATTTCTTGTAACAAGTTATGCAAGTAAAAATTGCCATCGATGAGCCGTGACGTAGGCCATATATATATGCGTAATCAAATAAATGTGTGTGAGGAGCGGGAAGTGCTGTAAACAATACCATTTTACGTGTGACCGAGATTTAAAGTAATTTTATATAAATTTATGAAGAAAAGTTTTTATAATTTATCCCCAATTGTTCTGGAAAAATATGATTTAGTTAAGACAAATTGATACAAACTGCTATGCAAAGTATGGATGACATTGATTTACCCATTAAAGATATTTGAGGATAAGTTGCACCACGAATTTTTGACCGCACTATAAGTTAAGACAAATTGAGACAAACTGCTGTGTAGAGTATGAATGACATTAATTCACCTGTTATAAAGATATTTGAGGATAAGTTGCGCCACGAATTTTTGACCGCACTAAAGGGCCTACTCTGCAAGATAGTCACCCTGTATAAAAACAAAGGGGGTAGGAGAGACTGTAATAATTATCGTGGGATCTCTCTGTTTAGCATTGTTGGAAAGGTCTTCGCACGAGTCATCCTGAACAGGCTACAAAAACTTGCTGACAAGGTATATCCTGAATCACAGTCTGTCTTCAGGGCTCAGCGCTCAACGACTGATATGATCTTCTACCAAAGACAGCTACAAGAGAAGTGCAGATAACAACAGGGATGACCGCTCTACCTTGCCTTCATCGACCTCACCAAGACCTTTGACCTCGTAAGCCGGGAGGGCTTGTTCCGAGTCCTCACAAAGATTGGGTGTCTACCGAAGCTCCTCAACGTCATCCAGTCTTTCCACACAGATATGAAGGGCGTCGTTCAGTTTGACGGCTCTTCCTTCCAGGCATTTAACATCCAGAATGGTGTAAAACAAGGCTGCATACTTGCCACTGCCCTATTCGGCATCTTCTTTGCTGTCATGCCGAAACATGCCTTCAGAATGTCAACCGATGGAGTACGGTATATATCTTCACACCAGGTCGGATGGGAAGTTGTACAGCCCTGTTTGAAAGCAAACACAAGGCTCTGCAAAGTCCTCTTTAGAGACATGCTGTTTGCAGACGATGCAGGACTGGTAGCTCACTCAGAAGAACAGCTGTAGGGTCTTAAGGACGACTTTTCTCGTGCATGTCAAGACTTCAACCTCATTATCAGCCTGAAGAAGACAAACGTGATGGGCCAGGGCGTAGAGCAGCCTCCGGGAATAACGATCAGCAACTACAAGCTGGAGGAGGTACATGAATCCACCTACCCTGGCTCAACCGTGGCAGACAGCCTGTCTTTGGATGCTGAGATCAACAAACGGATCGGGCGCGCAGCCACGACATTCGCAAAGCTGAAAAAGTGATCCTGGGGAAACAACAAGCTAACGATTCGGACCGGGTTAACAATCTACAGGGTCTGCGTCCTCAGCACCTTGCTGTACGGAAGCGAGACCTGGACCCTGTACAGCAGACAGGAAAACAATCCTCAACGCATTCCACACGCGCAGCCTAAGGCGTATCCTTGATAATGATATAGGCCTACAGTGGAGCGGCAAAGTCACCAACATCGAACTTCTCACCCGTGCGCAGATCCCAAGTTTGATCACCAAGCCCCGGCGGCGCCGACTCCGCTGGCTTGGTCACGTACATCGCATGCCGGATGGAAGAAACCCAAAGGACTTATTTTACGGCTGGCCTACGGAAAGCGAGCGCAAGGGCGCCCCCATCTTCACTTCAAAGATGTGTGCAAGCGAGATAATAAAATCGCTCGATATGGACACTGGGAAATGGGAGACACTGGCGTGCGATTGCGACAAATGGAGACAAGCGCTGCCGGCTGGTGTCATTAGAGGTGAAGCCCGACTGCGACAGGCTGCTGAGGACAAACGCCGTCACCAAAAGAACAGTAGTGGTGCAGCTAAGTGTAAAATCATTCACATTGTCATACAAGCACCAAAATTGGCATGCACATTACTTTTGGGCTGTTGTTTCATAAAACGAACGTTTACCACGTGAAAATCCAATATGGCGGCCATTTTCCAAGATGGCGGCCATGTGCATGCTCCCTGGTATATCTGTGCTTCTGTGGTTCATTCATCTTGTCATACAAGCACCAAAATTGGCATGCACATTACTTTTGGGCTGTTGTTTCATTAAAAAAATCGTTTGCCACATGAAAATCCAAAATGGCGCCCATTTTCCAAGATGGTGGCCATTTACGGGCTCTTTGGTATATCAGTGCCTCTTTGGTTCATTCCCATTGTCATACAAGCACCAAAATCGGCATACATATTACTTTTGACTTTAGGGCTGTTGTTTCATAGTAGAACGCTTACCACGAGAAAATCCAAAATAGCGGCCATTTTCCAAGATGGCGGCCATTTGAGGGCTCTTTGGAATATATCTGTGCCGCTGTGGTTCATTCACATTGTCATATAAGCACCAAAATTGGCATGCACATTACTTTTGAGTTGTTATTTCATAAAAGATTGCCAGCCACGTGAAAATCTAAAATCGCGGCCATTTTCCAAGATGGCGGCCATTCACAGACTCTTTGGCACACCTATGGTTCTTCTTATCCAGTTTTAAGGATACCAAAATCGTTTCTGACATTTTTGACGATTGAAAATTAGAATATAACAAAGGGAAGTCTTTTAAATGAATGAAAAGCTCTCAAATACGGATTTTGCTGATTTTTACACATATTTAACAAGATGTTACATTGTGTAATATATGACAATGGAAATGAGTAAGTAGTAAGCTAAGCAAAGTAGGCCTACAATATGGTAAACCTGCATGTAAAATCATTATCATGACCAGCTGAGCATTAATCACTCCAATTCAGCAGGTGCAGCTGCACATTGTTGTGCAGCTCAAACGGAACTTGTAGCACTTGCAACGTCCACGACACTGCGTCTTGCACTGGCATTTCGTAAGCTGCTGGCAACTCTGAGCAATTGGTTGGAGCTCAGACCATAGGATACTCCAGCAGTCTTCTTCTTGTTTCCAGCCCTCTTCTGCAGGACTTTCCTCTTCAAACTGACACTCCAAAGCCCGGCTCCATATGCATGCTGACTGGTATGCAGCACGTCTAATGTGCTGAACAAGGGCTGTACAAGTTGGTGGAATAGCTTCTTAGGATCTGTGCTTCCTGGACAAGACCTCCAGTCGTGCATCATCAACAGCTTCAGGACACGCATCCCACGTCTGTCATGCTGGCATTTTGCGCTTTCAACAGAATGCAGACACAAGATCACAGCCTGTAAAGACATGGAAGAGCAGAATACCACTGCTCCTCTCTGGAGTGAGGGTTGTGGTGAGCTCATGCACCGAGATTCCCTTCAGATTTCGTCCTTGCCCGAAAGCTAGCCACATTTCCTGGAGTCCCAGTTCCTGTAATTGTGAGAAATGGCAACAGCAATCACAAGAACATCTAGGTCATTGGCTTTTACCATGACTGTTCTGAAGCCCCGTTTTACAGTATCCAATGTAGGAAGATTCTTCTTGTACATGTATCAGCTTCCTAGTGATTGCAGTGTAATCTTGTCCTCCAGTTTGGCTGCTAGCTGTGACTTCTGGCAGACATGCAGCCTTCCTCCATGACTCAGAGATGCTGGACATGACTTATACTCGAGTCGGAAGAACTCACGTAGATCGCATTCTCTGTTCTGATAGGAAATGAATAATTTTGAGAAAAGCTGGCTTTTGAGAAATCCTTCAATGGCAATTGCTGAAAGAAGTCAATTTTTGCCTTCATTATTGTGCATAGAACGAGCTTGTATCTTCATGCTCTAGTGTCTCTAAGTGCGCCTCAAAAGATGAATTCTCAGTTAAAGTAAAGGATGAATTATAGCAATCTTATTAGCACTACAAGAGGATGCTATATCGTTGGTGTCCAGACTGAGCAGATTTCCAGATTCTTCTTGAAATTGATTTCCTATGTCCTCCAGCGTGCTTGTCAACCTTTGGACCATTTCCAGGAAGATTCTCTGGCACGTGAGTGTCTGTTCCTGATGTTTCGTCTGCTCTGAGACATCCCTCAATACTGACGCCTCCTCATACTGTGCAACGAGCTGTGACACAGCAGGGCCGGCAACCATCCATCTTCTCAGTGCTGATGGATCTTCAGTGATTCAGACTGCTCCTCCATCACCTTTGATTACTGCATTGGCTTGTTCATGTGCTTGGTCAACTGCCATTCCTGAGAAATCTATGTTGGATTTGTGAACAACAATTTCCCAGCATGAAATCTCCAAAGTCAGCATATCTATCAGGTGTATAGGAAGCCACCGTGCATAGTTCACGTTGTTGTTTGCAACTAAATATGGTATAAGCTGACATAAGGCCTGACGGTAGAGTCTGACGTTAGAAGTTCTCAAGGACCTGATGAATAGCAGAACAGCTAACTCCATTGTCAGTACAATGTTCCAGTAACAGAACTGTGGGCTCTGTAGTCTGCGATGTTCACATCAGTCTTCAAAACTTCGGGTCAGCCCATTCTTCTACGTATGAAGACTGGGCTGATTTCAGGAACTGGTAGGGGCTGCACGTTGTTACTTGGTGGGTTTGGCGGGTCTT